ACCAACAATCATGCCACGTTCAAAGTCACTCAAATCAACTTTCTTCCCCATACTGATGCTTGGTTTGAACTGCAGGAGATTGTCTTGACCATGTCTACATGCCTAAATGCACTGAGTTGCCGCCATGTGATTGGCTGCTTAGAAATTAAGTGTTAACGAGCAGTTGGACAGGTGTACCTAATAAAGTGGCCGGTGAGTGTATATATATATATATACACACACACACACACACACATATATATATATATTTTGCAATAAAATTAAAATTGTGTTTCTATAATAAACTTAAAAAGTTTTAAGTTTCTCAAATGTACCTGGGATTGTAGTTATTTACCTCACCAAAGCAATACTGATTTTTAAATACTTTTTTGCTTCAAATAAAAGTTTGTAATGTTGTGATTCACCTCGTGGCTGGTTGGCCTGGTTCATGACTTGCAGCGCTTTAACGAATACTTTGGATGCTGAATAAAACAAACATTTTGATTTTTTTTTTTTTTAATTCAGTCCAAACTTAAAAACTTGTTTATGTAGCCTATATGGTCACATTAACAACCTTAACAAACCATCTCTTTCCAAGAATTTTTTGACAAAAACTTTAATTATTATTATTATTAACAAAAAAACAAAAGAAGAGCATGTTACAAATAGTAGCCTACATAAAGAAATTGAAACATTTACAATTTTTCAAAAGTTTTAACTGCTTTTTGCTCCATATACAATCGAATTGGGTCAATAAAAAGCTCGATTTCTTGCAAAACTGGGCAGTGCAAAATAAACGAACCACAGTTTCAGGGCAACTGTCACAAAAAGTGCAATTAATAGCAAAATAAAGTAGGCTAATGTTTAACTGGGTAAATAAGTATAATTTTGAATGATACCTCCTTAACTTTGTTTGTAATTAAATATTGATTAGGTATATGTTTGACAAAAACTAAAACTAGATTAAACTTTAAATGTGACGTTATGATGACGTTATTCCGGCAAACTACTTCTTCTATGCTACTTTCTGTTGGTTTTAAAGGGGAGCGCGTCGATTATAAGTGCCTCTATTAGACATTCTCTGGTGCCTCTCAAATGGCTGGTAAGGAACCGAAAGGAAGCCTCTTAAAAGGTGGGGAATATACAAACATTTGACTAAATATCTGATGATGGTTTAATAGAGAGAATTTAAGATTGTTTTACCTTCTTTCCTGTTTACGATCTACTGTTCCACACGCCAGTCCGGTAGGTGGCGGTAATAAGGCACATATATTATGCTGGTTGCCAACCGCCAAGCATATTAAAAGAAGAAGAAGCGACCGTGTCAGATATTCTCTGCGCTTTTTTTTACTTTCACAATAATAGAAGATAAATACCCGCAAACTCTTTCAGCAGCTTATATATAACCAATAATATTCATCAGTACTTATTCATCAGTAAATGTAAAGTCTCTTCGTTGATCTTCAGTCTGTTTTTGAGAGAGTTATTCTTTATGTCGATCGTGTGCGACTGTGACACGCCTAGAAACAGCAGATTATTACAAATAATATCCACTGATCCTCTTTGGAAATCCGTAATACTGAAATCTAGATCAGTATGAAAAACATTTCATTGTTTGTGTTCATAGCGTTTATGGAAGGTAAGGATTATGCTTTGCTCTTGAACTCTTTTTGGTTTCACTTTTGTAAAATACGGAATTGCTAGGCCAATCTTCTTATTCCAGCTAATTTTTATACACGTGATTATCCAAGTGTTTATTCTTGGGTTTGGGAATGATGATGCTGATAGTTTTACAATACGCATGTCTATCTATTGTTATAGTCCCATATGAAATATACTTCTAGCGATTTGAAATGAGATATGTGTTTTATGTAGTTTCCTCATAATCTTATTTACATTGTATTAGTATACATTATATGTTAGTTATGTTTTTTGTAATATAATTAATGAGCACAAAATGAATTTCCAGACATTTACACAGTCGCGATCACTATTATTTAATTTAAATATTTACTGTATACTGAAATGTAATAGAGGACTATGACTGAAACCAAAATCGAAGGTAGCTGACTTGTTGCCTCGCTGTCCTATCAGGGAGTTAGCCTCGTGAGACCATCCTGATCTCGCGAGCTTTCAAGGTTTCACTCGCAGATCAGTCTGGATACTTTCCGTTAAAGAAAATTTGGGAGCAGTTCACCAAACGAACGTCCAATCAGCGTTGGCTTTGAGGCGGGTTGAGGTGTGACGCAACGAGAAGCGCGTCAGTTCAGTCTAAAGAACATGTCGGCTTCAGCGGATGAAACTAGCATCAGCGTGGCTATCGAGCAAGTTTTATCGGAATTACAGAGTATTTCTTCACTGAAAGAAGAGCAAAACACTGCTCTGGAGGCTTTTCTCAGAGGAAAAGATACGCTCTGTTAGTACGTCATATGCTTCGTTGATCTGATTGGTTGATTTGGCCCGTCTATCACCAACATAGGCCAATCAGCTAACCAGTATTTTCGCCCCTTACCAAAACTACTTCAACGGAAGGTTTCCAGATGGATATGCGGAGCAAATCCATCTGGCGGAGTCAGGTTATCAGGGAGTGACTTTGCAGTTAACATTTGCGTACAAAAGTACTGATTTCTGAGGCAGCAAAATGGTCTAATGATCTGGATGCCATTTGTAACTCCACTGCCAAACAATTGCTGTTACATGGTTTTAAAATGTTATAGATAACAATGGATATAATGATGCTGACTTCAAAATGTGGTCAGATGAAGGATTTGATAAACATAAAATGCAGATGTGTATTGAATCTGTATTAGAGCCCGACCGATATGGATTTTTGGGGGCCGATGCCGATACCGATATTAGGGAGTAAAAAAAGCCCGATACCGATATATCGGCCGATATTATTTATGTGTATATTATAATACAGTAGCAGTATTATTTATGTGTATTATAGTACAGTATACCAGTCAAACGTTTGGACACTTTCCTATTGGTGTGTACAAACTTTTGATGGGTACTTTACACAGTATAAACAGAATAAATATATTTTACAAACACGTTGTGCAATGATCACTCAAATGTGGTGATCAAACTCTTGTGTGACACAGATATGTAATGGAGGCAGGGGGAATGATAGGATGAGAATTATACAGCTGAGCTGAAACCAAACTAGTTTGCATTGCATGTTATATTATATTATATTATATTATATTCTAATACTGTTGCATAATCTTCACTAACGACTTTCTTTTAATTTAATCATAACTTGTATCAATAAATATATAAAAAGTGTCACTGACAAAACCTTATTATCTTCTATTTTTACTCTTAATTCATCTAATTTCTACCAGTGGAGGAAGAACTCAGATCTTTTTACTAAAGTAAAATTAATAATATCATAATGAAAACGTTTTTAATTACATATGTACAGTACTTTTATACTATTTTAAATAATTAGTAAGCAAAATGTACTAAACGTGAAACTAGGCTACTCTTAATGCAAAATGGCCCTATATAAAGTGTTATAATTATATAAATTATTGGAATATTGCTTGATGTTGTAACGTAGCGTTATCAGGCAGAATGAGCTTTAACACGGTGTCTACACCGGACGCGGCCGTTACTGCTCGCGTCGCAACAGCTGTTTACCCTAGACAACGCAGAATCAGTTTACTGTCGGAGATCGCTCGCGCCACGCATTTTAATCAATGTTTCATCAACCAATTGCCTTAATAAATAAGAAGTAGGCCTAAATATAGCAGACAATATAATCAGGACTTCTCAGCTGCGCGCTTTGCAATAGTCACAAGCTCACACAATACGTGACAGAGGCTGTAGCAGAGAAATCAATTCTGTGAATTACACTGCGCAAATCACAATTAGGCTACTACCCACCGGATGAAGAAGGGTTGGCTCTCAGTCTCCACAGGCTACATAAAATATTCATTTTATTTATTTTTCGTGTTCGCATTAAGGAAAAACAATGTTACAGACGCGACAGTTCAGCACTACGGACGTGAGCGCTCTGAAAGCGGCACTAAAATATGCTTTGAAACTTTCACATAGACATCAAATAGAAAGCACAAAACCTTTCGTTTCAAAGTGAATTTCGTTTTGTATTAATTGTATCTTAATTTTAATCAATGTTTCATCAACCAATTGCCTGGATTTAAGAAGTAAATATATCAGACGATAGATAATCTCGACACGGAGGCGCCTGCGGGTGAACTGGAGCTCGTCTCATAAACCGAAACTCAGCGTATAGACCTGAGAATTGAAATATATCTATATTGAAATGTCTGCTTTTAAACAGAACAATTCAAAACGAAAGACAGACAGACTCATGTAATCGAATGAAATGTGCATTTCTCTCTGGCGCGCGCTCACTGAAGATCGCGAGTCAGCATCGTCAACTTCATCTTTGGCTGACACTGACTGAAAACACTAGTTTATTAATAAACAATTAAAATGTCTCCTTGCTATATTTGTTGTATTCATAATCATTACTTTTGCCAGTTCTTGTGACAGCTTTTAGGTGCTTTATTGGCAGCGCCACCCTTACATGAATCACCGCACCCGCATTTTTTAAAATATTCATTTATCGGCCATTATAAATGCCGATACCGATAGTTAGGAAAATACCTAAAATCGGCCGATAATATCGGCCCGCCGATATATCGGTCGGGCTCTAATCTGTATGCTGACAGTGTTTTATAATTTGAACTGTTCCTCTTTGTTCTCCAGGTGTGTTTAGTGATGAAGTGTCAGCGACTGAGGGAGGTTCTGTCACTCTAAACACTGATAATAAAATACAACCAGATGATTTTATAGACTGGAGGTTTGGAGGCACTCTCATAGCTAGAGTTATAAAAGCCAGTGGGCCCACACCATTTGATGATGCTCTTAATGGGAAGTTCAAAGGCAGACTAACACTGGACAGTCAGACTGGAGATCTCACCATCTCAAACATCAAAACCTCAGACTCTGGAGAATATAAAGTTTCCAACAGCATCGACTCCTTAAAGAAGACCTTCACTGTCACTGTCAATGTCAGTGCTGGTGAGTGTCTAATTTATTTCAATGTTATTATTTGCTTATTTACATAGTTTCTCTGTACGTAAATGCTCTGAAGTCGAACCGTTAAACATGCAAGATATACAAGGAGTCCCTGTGTATAGAATCTAGAAATTTCGCAAATGAAACGGCAAGGACCACATTGATTGAATTAAGTGTGAAATTTGATTTGAAATTGTATTTTCTTGTTAAACATACTCCAGTAATCTTTGAAAACTTTTACAAGTGTAAAACCGTCTGCTAGAAGCCGACAGCTCTGTGATCTCCTTCACCGTCCGTATTCTTGTTACATTAATGTCTGTCTCTCTTCAGCTGCTCCACAATCAGGTCTGTCTCCAGGTGCGATAGCAGGGATAGCTATTGCTGTTATTGCGGCGGTGGCTGCAGCTGTTGGTGGCATTTAGTATGGCTACAGGAAAAAGGGAGAAATGTGTAAGTATTACAGCTGATGCAGCGTGAGATAAACACTGTGCTGGAGATTGTAAAGCTGTAACAGGTGATGTTCAGTCATGCATAAACCATCTTGTGCCTTTGTGTTTGTATTCATGTTGTTCTTTATCCAGCAGCATTATAAAGAACTATCATTAATACTCAAATATTAAAGATGAAAGTGATAATGACCGATTATGAAGATTTAATGAACAGAAAGCAGGAGGAAGATATGGAGCAAATGATGGTGTTTTTTTTGTTTGTTCATTAAAGCTATTTTTTATCATTATTCTTATTTATGTTCCATATTTCTCTGTTTCTACAGTGTGAGCTTCAGTGGCAGATGTTGAATGTCGGTGGTAAGTAACTCAAATATTTCATTTAAAAGACACACTTGTCATTATTAACATTTATTCTTATTTTAGCAATGTGTGAACCGTTTTGATGAAGGATTGTGTTTTATATATAAACATATTTCACTGCAATGAGCTGTTTATGAACATGAGAAAGTGTCCTGTGAGACAGAAAGATGTCAGAAATCCTCTGATTTAAGCTCTTTTATCATATCAGTCTCCATCCTCATGATGCTGTGAAATCACACATCGGTGAAGTTTTCAAAAACAGCCTTCGTTTCAAGAGATCTGATGAATTTTAAATCATCTGCTCATTTTAAATTGTTTTAAATAATCTAAAGGAAATGATCTGATCATGAAGACCAAAATCTGTTTCCTAAAAAAGACACTAACTTGAGATATTTAGAAAGTATTTTTAACATAAATGATATTGTATTGATATGGTATGTATGAGTAATATATCCACTGATCTTCCCATTCTTCACTTTTATGAACAAACACTTTTGTGTGACACATTTAATTGGTCAAAACTCTTTACTCCCGACTGTACATTCAAAAACACTGCTCTTTTGTGTCATATGCCTTTTTATTGTGTCTTATGTGTGTCTCTTCATATCTTGTTTTTGTCAGATTCCACTAAACGCAGAAGAAATACGCCAGAGGAGCGGCCTTTGATAAAGAAAAACTCTCCCGACAGCTTCAGGACGAAACCAATGTGACATTTTCATTAATCAAAATTAGTCATATTTTTCCTCATGTGAGCCTCTGATATCCTCTGTGTGCAGATACATCTGATCCAAATCTCACATTTCATACCTGTCACTCTATATTAAAAAGCACTTACTGTTTCTGCTAATATTAGACACAATATCTGACGAGAAATGTCACGTAGACTATATAGGAATGACATGTGACGCTTTAGTTTTAACACTTTCTAAAAGTTTCTAGAAACGTGTGTTTGTCACACTGACAGTTTTGCTCTGTGTACGAAATTTGATGTGATGCTTTTATTGCAGGAATACATTTATTTCTATTTTCTTACATTATAATATAAACTGTGCCTTATTTTTATGCTATACAACACTTTCATCTCTGTTTTTGTGTTATCTTAAATAAATCTGCCTATTTTACTCTCTGATTGTGAATGCAAATTTAAATGATCTGTTACGGGTGGTGATTTATCATTGTGGTGTGAATTTATTGATTTTATTTTTACATTTGATTGTTAATTTTTTTTAATGATTTTATTAGAGAAGTTTCAGCTTTGGATTTTTTGTATTGCTGTTTTAAGCTTAATGCAAAACCTTTGCTTCACTTCACTTCACTGAATAAAATAATAATAAATTAACCAAAAAAATATTCGTTTGTTGCTATTGTCTGGTTTTAGTCTGTAAAAATGAGACGAGCAGAATCGGCCGAGAGCTTCAGTAATGATGTAATGGATGTGAACTTCTGACAAACAGAACAATGTCCAACGCCCCGCTAGATTCAACTCTTGCTCTCTAGAGACACATTTACTAAACAGGACAGATTAACAGAGAACTCAGTCCCATTAAAGCACTGAGGAAGTGAAAAACTCTAGTAATGCCAAAATGAAAGAATACTGCTCATTTTCCATAATGACCAACACATTTGACCAATAGTTGAGATGCAGTTAATGAAGCATGTTAGTAGGTGTGGAGCTCACACTGCTATAATGCTGTTTAAAAAAAAAAAAAAAAAAGTCCACCAGGTGGCGTCATTTATCGGTTAAATCAATATCATACGATCATACCACTGACGATCTGAGTGGAAAGATGTAAATATCAGTAAAATCAATTGTTAGTTTGTCTATAGTATTATTAACTTAAGTAGTATTACTAAGTATAGTAGTAATACTATACGTTTATGGTATTTAGGCCTAACTGTATCATCAATCCTGTTCATTTCTTTTTTACCTTTTGTGAATCAGTGTCTACATTCAACTATCAACACTGATGCACTGAACTTTCACCTTTAACATGTTATTCGAGCTTTAGTCGCGTTGACCAGCTGTTAAACTCAATCCTGAACATGGTGTCTAATCGACTGTCATTTAAACGCTTTCTGTTTCATGTGTAGGCCTATTGAGTGGTGGGTGGATCATCTTGGAAAGGTGAATTTCAGGTTAAGAACACTAGATGACACTAGTGCAGTATAAGTCAGGCACTTAATGTACATTTCTTCACATATTCAAAGCTTTTCCAATTTTCATGTCAAGCCATTTCAAACAAGGGCTGTTTGTCCATAGTGCAATTTACAATGGTAAATGCAAACACTGTTATTATAGTCATTACCTCTGTAAAAGTATTGTAATGTTTTATCAGACAGAAAATGTATGAACCGTCTAACATAGAAGAGGTCATATTAAAACTATGAATATACCATGGTACTACATTGTTTTTTTATGCTAATTTACTTTTAAAAGGTGGTGTAGCCTACTTTAATATCTTTATCTACTTTAATCTTCCCTGTGTAAATACATTTACATTACATGCGTCGTTTAATCTGTGAGAATATGATTATTCCCTAGTTATGTTATAGTTTAATTTCTGCGGGTGTTTACATCTGCCGTGTTTGGGTTCCAGCTTTGATACTTCCGCTTTACCGACCAATAAGGCGTTCCATTTCCAGTTGACGTGGGCCTACAGGACAACATGACAGATTTGCAGTTTTCTTTTTTTATTGAACAATCACAGGGGATACATCATGTATCACACACAAAAAATAGGATAAGAAAAAAAAGGTAATAGGCAGAAAAGTACACAGTAGGAGATAGTCTAATAAAAAATAATAATAATAATTCATAAAACATTTAAAGCAATAGAAATTACACATACAATAGCTACGTGAATAAAAACAAATAACATGAAACTAAATAATAATAAAATAAAAAAATGGACATCATCAGGAAATCATGAGGTAACTTTGAAAATATATATATTTTTTAAAAACAGAGCCATTTTAGTGTCTTCCTTGTTAGCTGATAAATAAAGAAAGTCATAGGATAACTTTAAACCAACACCACAAAAAAGCCTAAAAATAGAAGCTTTGCAGTTGTTCGTTGTCAAACACAAAATTATCCTAGCAACCGAATCCTGGTGTTGTGTAGCCTACCGTTCAGAGAGGATCATACGTGTTACACACACCAGATTCTGAAAACGTTTATTGAGAGATTTTAATATAATAATGCAGTGTCATTTTCGATAAATTTCATTTATTTAAAAAAAAAAGCGAATGTTTATCATGTGGTCTGGTCATCAAATCCATAGACAGTAAAAGAAATGGACACAGCGACCCCGTTGATTTCAACGGAGAGAGTTGAAGCCCAACATCGGCACTAATTTCCTGATAGCCAAGCGTTCTGCGCAGGCTCAAACTGAGCTTGATGACGTAGTTGTCACGTGAGCAACCGTTCTGACCTTCTAGTAGCTGTGCCGGGACAAATCTGAATTGAAATCTGAAACAAATCTGTTGTTGAAATATTTTGTACCGTTGCTTTTATGAACTTTCTATCTATGGGCTTCTCCCTTGACTTTATGCCTCCATGTCCCTCCGATTGCCTCATAGACAGTAAACGATTGCCGACGAGCTTCTACTTCTGTCTATACGGTATTTTCTCTACTGTGCGACAGATAGTGCCGTGGTTATGACGCAATCGTTAGCCTATTTTTACAAGAATGGCTTCTACGGGGCCATAAAGTAAGATACAAAGTAATGGAGCCTTTTACATTGTCGTGTTTCTTTAGAAATAAATAATGGACAAATGGAGTCTTTGGACGCCTCAGATGTAAAGTTATTCGCTGTCAAAGTGACGCCAAAATGAATGGGAGTCAATGGGATGCTAACAGCAGGTGATAGCCAGCTACAATGGCGGCCCCCGGAGGCGATATTTTTTTTCACAGGATAGGGGAAGACTCATGAATATTCATTAGGGAACTCATCCCTGATTGGTCTGATGACCTACCCCCTACCCCCGCCCCTAAACCTACCCGTCACTGTGGGTCTGATGACCTACCCCTAACCCCGCCCCTAAACCTACCAGTCACTGGGGTTAAGACCAATCAGGGATGAGTTCCCTAATGAATATTCATGAGTCTCCCCCTACCATCCTGTGAAAAAAAATATCGCCCCCCGGAGGCAGCTTCAACTTCCGGCTGATGGATTACCCCCTTGATCAAATCCAAGGGGGTAATCCATTAGCCGGAAGTTGAAGCCTCGCGGGAGCCGCCATTGTAGCAGACCATCACCTGCTGTATTGTAAATGATATAGGGCGTGACAAGATGGCGGAGAGAGCAGACGCTCTGTGAGTAGCTCAGAGTAGCAAAACCTTTAAAATCAACGGAATGACCTTATAACTCACTAAAACCCTGATTTTTCAAACGTAGATCTGTAGGGAACTTATCCTAATAATTCAGAAACGTGTAAGAAACCGTGTGCACCTACGGGAGAAAGATATTGCGAACCACAACATGGCTAGCTCTAAAGCTAATGCTAAACTGAAAGCTCTCCAAGCACACGACTACTGTGGGCCAGAAAGTATGGAAACGAATATTAAAGGTACCAAAAATACCCTAACATCGCCTTCCAAACCACCAGCACCTCCAAAAAAGCCAAAACCAGACGACGTCGTGGCTGCTGGCGCTCATGCAGATGACGCATCTAACGCTGCAATCCTGGCTGCTATCGGCACTCTTCAAAACATGATGCAGGACTTCAAAGAGGATCTAAAGCAGAACACGCTGACCATAACCAACATCGCGAAAGCGGTAGAGGTTAACTCTGCAGAGATCAAAGTTTGTAAGGAGCAGTCCCAGAAACTGCACGTCGAGGTGAAACAACTCAAAGAGATGAACACAGTTCTTGAAAAAAGAGCATCAGAAGTTGAAAAAAGAGCGGCAGAGTTAGAGCGTTATAAAAGAAGATGGAACCTGCGAGTAAATGGTTTAAAGGAGGAAAAGGACGAAAACACTCGACTAATCATCTCTGATATCATCGGAAAGATTATGCCACACTGGAGGGAGAAGATGGATTTCATCCTGGATTCAGTACACCGGCTGGGGCCGAGTAACACCAACCGCCCTCGCCAGATCATCATGCAGTTCACAGGACGCCAGTTTAGGGACGAACTCTGGCGGATCTCCAAACTTCACCCCGTTTGCAAGGATCTCAACATCCGCTTCGCAGAAGACCTCACCAAAGAAGATAGAGAGGCACGGATGGCTGTGTGGCCGAAAGTCGAACAAGCGAGGAAGGCTGGTCTAAAGACAGTGTTTCGGGGTCCCCACGCTTTCATTAATGGACAAAGAGTCTTGCCATAGACACAACGTTCCAGGGTTTGGAATCCTGATAACAAGTGAGTTTGAATGATAAAGCGTTCTCAAGGTTTTGCTACTATTACACATTCCTAAATAGGAATTTCTACGGTTGTTTAAGTTCTATAATCCATTGCTGTTGATTGTTTATTTTTTATTTTATTTTTTTCTACCCATGTTCAGTTTAAAGAGTACCATTTCTTTAATGTCTGTTAATGCAAGGGGTTTAAGAGACATGACAAAGAGGAAAAGTATTTTTTTATTTTGCAAGGGAAAGAAGTCTAATATAATTTTTTTGCAAGAAACGCATTCTAATGTCGATGATATTAGTTTCTGGAGTAAACAATGGGGAGATGAAGCTTACTTTAGCCACGGTTCTTCACGGTCAGCAGGTGTCGCCATCCTCCTAAATAATTTCAAAGGTCATAATTTTGTGTCCCATAAGGCAGATGAGTTTGGTCACTGGCTGATTCTTATTATAAACGT